ACGCAATCGCACTCTGAGGAACATGTCCTTTATATCGGATTTGCAGGCTACGGCGTATTGGCGAAAGCGTATCAACACGCCAGGGAGTGACTGCAGAAGATCAGGACCCGCATCGAGTTGATCGTTCAAACTCAGTCCCTCCGTCTTGGCTGCCGCGTCAAAGACTAGTCTCACTCTCCCAGGCTTCGACACGTTAGTGACGCCGAAATGGGGGAGGTACCAAACTCTCGCGGGAACTTTCTCGTCTTTTACTTCGTGTACATACCCTTGGCCGACGAGACGGTGCATTTCCTCGTAGTACAAGCGTGCATAATCAGCGTCGCGATCTAATCGTCGCTCGACGTTATACAGCCGCTTCAGCGCCGTTGAGCGACTGTCGGCGCTAGGGATTGTGTCGCTACGCCACAGCAGCCCGGTTTCCCAACCCGTTTTCAACGGTCGGCTCGTCTGCTGCAACGTTTCGATCGTGCGCACCTGTGCTGGATTGACTCGCTCCACTTCGCGTACTCCCAGACTTTCTAACCGAAAAAATTCACGCACTGCATGGTTAAGCGTGCCGTCGTTCCTTTCGCACACCTCACAACGCTCATACACACTCGCCACTAACGCCTGCTCACGCTCGCTCTTTCGGCTGTTGTTACGTGCGTCGCCGCGCGCTTGACCATGCACTACCCATCCCAATTGCGTCAAACCAGCGGCAATTCCCAACTTCGGTATTCGGCGCGTCTCACGGCTCAGCAGCAAGTCCCAATTGTCTTGGCCAATCAAAATCGCCGGCGTCGCGTTCTCGTAAGGTTGGACAAATACGCCTACTTCGATGCTTACTCGTCGGACCAGCTCGCGTGGTAACGTCTGCGTCGGTAAGGTGATCGATGCTACCGTCAACGCGTCTGTTATCGGTAACTTATCATCCCCGCCCTCTATGGTAAATGATACGCGCCGGCACGAGGTAGCCTCATCAACGCTTCTTTTCACCCCCTGAATGTGTATGATTTCGCGCTTTCCGTGCAACCCGATCCTCCTTGCCATCTCTTCGGTGATCATGGTTATTGTGGACCCGTCATCTAAGAATGCATACGTATCGATTGCGCGCGAAGGTCCTTTAACTGTCACGGGTAATATCTTTAATAGAGCGTACGGACGTGCTAGTCACAACGTCGACAGCACGTTCTCCGGCTTGACACGCTGCACGTTCGTCTGCGCCTTCGACCGTCCCCCGTCTGCTTGGTTGCCCTTGACACGGTGCAACAACGTGTGGTGCGGACCCGCACAATGGATGCACTGAGCTGCTTTGCATGCCCCCTGCAGGTGCCCCCCTCCCAAGCACTTATAGCATCGCCCCATTCGTTTCGCCAACAACCATCGCCGCCCGATAGACTCGCGTGCAAATTCGAGGCAATCCGCCATGTTGTGGTTGTCACGCTGGCATACAGGACACGCGGGAGGTTTCTCGGGGAGATTAGCGTTGTCTTCCTCATCGGAGCGTACGGTCGCCATTACTCGCTGTTGTCGGGGTGCTCGGGGGGGTTTTCCCTCGCTGGCATTCCGTTGTTCGGTGGGCCGAAGGCCAAACAATCTGCCTGATACCGCCATTTCCGCTTCGCGATGTAAGAATTCCGCTAGCCGCTCGAGTTCGGTTTTTTCGCTCGGGTGTTTTGCAACATACCGATTATACGAGTATTGTAACACCGTGGGTAACTTTTCCCCTACGCTTCTGACGAGATCAGGGCTGTACAAGTGGCCTTTCAAGTTCAGGCTGTCAAAGGCCGCAACCGCATTGCACAAGCTCGACGCGAACTGAGGGAGGGTAACTTTGCCACTTGCTAAAGGCGGTAGATCATACAGGTCTTGCGTGATTTTAGCCGCGATTACATGCACGTTCCCATAATGGAGGGCGAGCGTTTTCATCACGACGTCCGCGCCTCGCCCAGTCGCGAGCAGCCCGCTAACGACTTTTCTCGCCTCTCCTTGCACTGATGTGAATAAACGCGCGACGCTCTCTGAGTCAGTAAAGCCTGCCGCTGCAGTGCTCGATTCGTACATTTGTTTGAAATGCCGCCACTCTAAGGCATTTCCAGAAAACACAGGCAACGACTTCGCGTCGGTCAATCGCGTCAACAATCGCGATTCATTTTCCGCACTCGAACGGTCTTGTAGCACGCGCAAGGTCGCTTCGTACACGTCGGTCAGTTGCTCGAACAACTTTTGGTTACCTGCTTCAGTCCCTTGGGCGAGGCGTGTTGACTCGGTGGCTGGCCGGTTTCCACGGACCTGGCGCTGGCGGATTTCCTCGAAGTCATCGTCCGCGTCGCTGACCTCGTTGCCTCGACCATCGAAGTTGCGTAGCGGGTCTCCCCGTTCCTGCAGCAGTCGTTGCAGCTTGTCTGCGATCGTTGTCGGACGCTTGGCAGGCAAGATGGCGTCGCCTGGCGTGCCTCCCGCGTTCTCCTGGTTACCCAGCTGCCTTTTCATGTCGTCGTTGTTCGATTTTATACTACTAATTATCCCGTGTAGTCCCGGGTTTCAGCACCATTTGTTGACGACGAAACGAGGAAGGCAGGAACAAATTAAAACAAGGAGAAAACAGGAATAAAATAATGTTGGCTTTATTTTAATAAAGTACAAATAGGGCTCAACGCGACCTACCTAGTCTCTCTGCGATTCACACAACACTGCCTGTTCCACTCGCACGCCGCGAGCTCCCTCGTCGCACCGCCGCGACCCTATGCTCACACTCTCTCTCTCTTTCTCATACGGTTACACCTATAGGTACATAAATGTTCTCCTGACGCCAGCGTTTAAATATACGCATACACTTGAATACGCATAATGCGAACAACCGACTGTGATCAGTGTTGGTATCCGAAATTATCATTTATTTATTGATTATTTATACTGCTGAGGCAGAGCACCTATCGCCTGAACGGCGTAGGTCGTCCTCGACGTTCCTACCCAGATATTTTAATCCTCATCAAAGTCAAGCCACTTTAGGGTACGGGATTACATAATTACACTGTGGTTGGCTTGACAGCAAGTACCGACTTTACGATACTCTGATAGCGGCCCTCCGCCTCAACATTACGCAAATGCTCGCCCTATTCAGCCCCGCCACTGGTCCCTAGTCGCTTGTTCGCGAACAGACAATTTCGCGGTCCGCTCACTCTCCGAACAGGGTTCCTGTTCGTAACAGCAGCCTTAGGGCTCGGGCACATCGAACTGCGTAAAGCGTAAAGAGTATCGCGTATCGCGTGAAATTAAAGAATCAGGGAAAGTTATTCAAGGTACGCATTACGCGAAAAAATTTGTCGTCGCACACATGGGAGTAAAAAATACGAGCGTAAGTGTTTTTAACTCAATCACAGCGAGTATTTCGTTGGCTTTGCACATGCTGTCTCGCTCGCACTCATGGCAAAAATGAAGTTACGCCCGTTTTTTTGTGCCTATGTGCGCGATGACAAATTTTTTCGCGTAAAGCGTAAATAAAGTACGCAATATGTAAATATAGTCAGCAGCTAATGTCAACAGCAATTACAGTATCAATTGTATAATTAATAGAATTTCTGACATGGATGAAAAATAAATCGTAAAAACTTTGGGAAAATTGTGGAAAGTCTATACGACCTATGTAATGACCCATTATCACAAAGAAAAAGTAAGAAGTGTGAATGATTAAGCTGTATGAAATGTATTAACAGCTCTCAAATAAAAAGAAAACAGAAGTATATACTAGAAAACTTTTTTTTGACATGTACAGGTAAGAATTCACTTGCGTTGAGAACTTCAAAAGCTTTTTTTGTTGACAAGACAGCAGATTGGTCAACTCCCCTCTACTTCAAACTTACGCGATACGCGAGGCTTTGACGCCTTTTCAATATGAACACTAAGTGGCGTATATCTAACCTTCCTTACTTTTACGCGATACGCGATATGCTTTACGCTTTACGCGGTTTCATGTTCCCGAGCCCTTTATGGAGACAATTCTATCCTGCTCTATTGCGCTCCATGTGACTGCAGCCTTATAAGTAGTGGGAAAAACCATCATGCGGCAATAACCAGCGTTGGGTTAGGCGGATTCAATGTCGGAACTATTTCCCTAGATCGTATATATAGCTATACCATCTAGAGAGAGTTCCGCTGAGCAGACAGCAGTGAAGGGGCACTGCAGCCAAAGACGGTACCCACAACGCGCGAAAATTAAAAAATTGTAATATTAATAACACAAGTGCCTATCACCCAACGATCCGGGACGCTTACTGGCCACTCTATTATATAATAAAATATTAATTACTAACACAAGCGCCTATCACCTAATGACACGGGGTGCTTACTGGCCACTCTACCATATAATAAAATATTAATTACTAACACAAGCGCCTATCACCTAATGACTCAGGGCGCTTTCTGGCCATCTATTAAAAAAAAAAAAATTAATTATCAACACAAGCGCCTATCACCCGGTGACCCGGGGCACTTACTGGCCACTCTATTAAATAACAAAAAGTTAAATAATATCGCAAGCGCCGATCGCCTGATAACCCAAGGTGCTGCTTGTGTTTAATTAACATTTTATTATTTAATAGTGTGGCCAGTAAGCGCCCCGGGACCCGGGACATTGGGTGATAGGCGCTTGTGCTATTAATTAATAATATATTGTTCAATAAAGTGACCAGTAAGCTCCCCGAGTCATTGGGTGATAGGCACTTGAGTTATTAATATTACAATTTTTATTTCCGCGTGTCTTTGGCAATGCCCCTTCACTGCTGTGCTGTCTGCTCGACGGAACATTCTCCCTAGATCGTATAGCTATACATACGATCTAGGGAAAAAGTTCTGATATTGAATCCGCCTAACCCAACGCTGCCATCACGCGGCCATGTCTGCTCATATACTCAACCAGAGATCTCAAACCTGTCCTACGCTACGAGTAGGTATCACACTATCACCTCGAATTTCTTGCTCTTAGGTACCGCTTTTGCGTGCAAACTTTGCTCGCAAAGGCCTAAGGCTAAGGCCCGCGTAATCACCAGTCCAGTCCCTGCCATCACTACCTCTAGCGTACAAAGCGGCAATTCAGATTTCAGATGAATATGAATGCGGACGTTTGGTTTCCTCAATGAGTAGCGCCAATATTCAAGTTCTGAGTTCTGTTTTTTGGCATTCGGGAAGTTTAGTTTCAGAGGAGGCGAACATTAGAAGTTCTTAATATAAGCCCAGCAAAAGGTAACAGCGACAATAACGTCAGCTATAGGTAGAAAAGAGCGATTTTGCGTTATGGATCCGCGTAAGTTAACGGAGCTGCTGAGGGGGACCATTGACCATGCACAGCAGAAGCAGGCCGAAGAGCAGCTAAACCAGGTGAGCATGCACCCATTTAATTTGTCTGAGCGATTTTTTTCTTCGCAGACGCCACTGCCAGCTAGTAGGTAGCCACACGTGCTTGATACCTAACCGCACATTCAATGCGGCTGCAACGATAATGTCTGCCCCCTCTTAGATGTTAAGCCTGACTACAGGCACCATGCTGTTTTAATTCTAGGTTCACAAAATTATCGGCTTCGCCCCAGGTCTCCTTCAGGTCATTATGTCCAATGACATCGATATGCCTGTGAGGCAGGCTGGTGAGTTGATTCGCCCCAAATTTTCTTTTTCATACCCTGTAAGGCTCTGTTTTAAGTTCATATTGATAAAAACCTCCCAAAAATGGGAAAAGATGAATGTAGTCTTATTTCTTTATGTTTGTGAGCGCTTGTCTATCTAAAATTGCTCATACCAAGGTTTCTGCTGTATTGTAGGTGTTATCTACTTGAAAAATTTTGTCATCACAAACTGGGCTGATCGGGAAGTTGAGAACAATGCTGTGCCTTTTAGTATCCATGAACAAGACAGGGCAATGATTCGTGATTCCATTGTTGATGCCACTATACATGCTCCTGAACTCATCAGGTTTTTTTTTTTTTTTTTTTCTTTATAACCCTCTAGTCTTGCCCTTTTTTGTACGTAGTTATTTTATTTTACTTTGTACATGTGCTTTTTCTTACAGGCTCCAGTTGGCTGTATGTATCAGTAATATTGTCAAGCACGACTTTCCTGGCAGGTGGACGCAGATCGTTGATAAAATAACTATATATCTTCAAAATCCAGATGCTACTTGCTGGCCTGGAGCTCTTTTGGCTCTTTATCAGTTTGTTAAAAATTATGAGTAAGCTGCATCTCTGTTTTATATGCAATGTTATATTATATCTGATGTGTTCAGAGACGAAGTTTTGTTGACTGGGACTCACATTAGTGGTAAATTCAAACATCTATTAATAAGTGTAGTTTAATCAGCTGTTAGCTCTTGTTTTCTTTTTGTTTAAACTAGTAAAGTAATTTTAAAAAGTAAATTTAAAAATTGCTGATACAGTGAAGTAATGTGAATAAACTACCTTGGCTTTCAAAATGAAAAAAAATCATAACAGCTTGCTGAACCACAGCTTATGGGAGTTATCCAATATTACAACTATGACACCCGTGTCAGCCTGACTTCTGTTTCTTAACATATTGTTTCTTACTGCTTTTGCTAAATCCCTGGCTATACAGGTACAAAAAAGCAGAAGATCGAGGTCCACTACATGAAGCTATGAATCTTTTACTGCCTATGATTTACCAACTGATTTTAAGACTACTACCTGATGATTCTGAACAATCTGTCCTTCTGCAGAAACAGATACTCAAAATATTTTTCGCGCTTACTCAATATACACTCCCTCTTGATCTTATTTCAAAATCAACTTTCTCTGAATGGATGAATATTGTACGACAAGTTGCTGATAGAGGTGTACCGGCAGAGACAAACAATATTAATCTAGATGATGATGAACGAGCTGATTTACCATGGTGGAAATGTAAAAAATGGGCACTGCACATACTTCAAAGAATTTTTGAACGGTTTGATAAAAAAATTTTTATTTCTAATTTGTAAACTTTCGTATCTTTTCTGGCATTCAAACCCTGGCAAAGTGTTTTATGCAGTATGGAATTATTTTATCCGTTTACTGAATTTTAGATATGGAAGTCCAGGTTCTGTGAACAAAGATTATAAAGAATTTTCAGAATGGTACTTGCAAACATTTAGTGCTGGTATACTCGAAGTATTGCTGAAAATTTTAGACCAATATCGAAGAAAAATTTATGTTTCACCTAGAGTTTTGCAACTCTCTATTAATTACATTGATCAAGGGTAACTTAGAAAAAAAAATTTTTTTTTTAGCATAAAGGCTTATACTTTTACATGCATTTAGTTTTATAACTATATTATACTTATCTTTTTTCCCTCGAAGAGTTATCCATGCATTTTCGTGGAAGTTTTTGAAACCTCATATGTTCGAAATTATTCGCGATGTTATATTTCCTCTCATGTCTTACTCAGCAGCTGATGAAGAGTTATGGAATACAGATCCATACGAATACATTCGTGTTAAACTAGGTTATTTTTGTTCTTATTAGTTATGAGTGCTGCCAGGTACAAGATAATTTATTATTTAAATAGCTTAGGATTTTTAATTACATCAAACATTTTTTTTTACCGTTTATAAAAATTTATCTGAAGTTTTTAACCATTTGACTTTTTTATATATTGCTGGAACATGATCCTTAAGTCCTTTTCAGCTTGAATGGAGCGAGAGTAAAAAAATTAGATGTTTTGGATTTTTTTTTCTTCAAAGGCTTCCTTTAATAATTTCTTACCTTGGAGCTTTTACGCAAAGTAAGCCTAAAGAAGCAAAGTAGCACTCAGCCCCTTCAGCAAATAAATGTCGTTCGCAAATCGGATGTAAACGTACATCAACTACACATTTGCGCGTTAAAAGTGTACTTGGTGTGCATGGTACAAAAGCTACGCTTCACATGCTTCACACTTCTTTTGAGCTGAAAAAAATGATCTATCATGTCCAAGTAGTAGGTACCAAAGTCTAATGGTTCAAGACTTCACATAGATTTTTATAATAGTTAAAAAAAACTTAACCAGGTAAAAAAATTAAAAACCCATGCTGTTGAAATGGTAAATTATCTTTTGTCTAGCGTCACATGTTTAAGCCCCTATATATGTGTACCCTTAGACTTGTAGACTTGTATAAATGACATTCTTACAGATATATTCGAAGACTATATATCTCCTGTAGCTGCAGCTCAGGCCTTGTTAAACTCTGCTTGTAAAAAACGTAAAGACATGTTGGAGAAATCAATGCAATTGAGTATGGAAGTTTTGACCAGCGTAAATACTGATGCAAGACAAAAAGATGGAGCTTTACATATGGTATACTAAAAGTAAACTTGAAAATTGTATAAATCGAGATTACAAATGTACCTATGACCAATTTTATTAACGATCAGGTTGGAGCGCTTGCCGATATTTTATTGAAGAGAAACATTTATAAAGAACAAATGGATGAATTACTTCTTCAGTATGTGTTTCCTGAATTTAATAGCTCACATGGTCACATGAGAACAAGGGTACTATCCCAATTTAGTAACGTTATTTTTGATATTTATAATCTTTATTATTAGTATTTTATAAACTTATGATAAAAAATAACTTCTACTTTGGGCACTTTTACCATATTTTAACGTTTAGTTGCTTTTAGTAAGAACAATTCTTTTTTTATCTGGTGCGCATCCAATCAAAGCAAGTACGAGTCCCTCGGACCCAGTGCTTGCCCTAGTAACATGCACCACCAGGTAAAAAAAAATCGTTGTAATGTATATATATATATACATATAAAAATTTGTGTATGTATGTCTATTTTAGGCCTGTTGGGTATTGCATAACTTTGCTGAAATTAAATTTAAACAAGAAAATATATTGATACAGGCTGTCAGATTAACTACTAATGCTTTATTAACTGATCAAGATCTTCCTGTTAAAGTAGAAGCAGCAATAGCACTTCAAAGCTTGCTGAACATGCAAGAGAAGGCACAGAAATACATTGAACCATACATCAAACAAATTACAATGGAACTTTTAAGTATTATTAGATTGACTGAAAATGACGATTTAACAACTGTCATGCAAAAAATAGTTTGCACATATCCTGATCCACTGATGCCTATTGCAGTCGAAATATGTCAGCATTTAGCAACTACTTTCAGCCAAGTATTGGAAACAGATGAAGGTAGTGATGAAAAAGCTATTACTGCAATGGGGCTACTAAACACAATCGATACTTTAGTGTCTGTGATGGCAAATGAGCCCATAATAATGAGCCAACTACAACCAATAGTTTTGCAAGTTATTGCACACATCTTTAATCACAGTGTGATAGGTAATTGTACTTGAATTTTGTGAGGTATTTCCAAGTTTCATAATAGTTAAAAACAATAACTAAATTAACTAACAGAACAAATTTTTCCGAGTAATGCATTTTGTCTGTATTTTTTCATCCTTGAAAACTTTTTTGTAGAGTTTTACGAAGAGGCATTGTCCCTTGTATACGACCTAACAGCGAAGTCGATATCTGATGACATGTGGAAAGTGCTTGAACTAATGTACGAGCTTTTTCAGAAGGATGGCTTTGACTACTTTACGGATATGATGCCAGCCCTGCATAATTACGTTACAATTGACACACCTGCCTTCCTATCAAATGATAATCACATTCTGGCCATATTTAATATGTGCAAGGTTGTGCTGACAGGTGATGCAGGAGAAGATCCTGAGTGTCATGCAGCAAAACTTCTTGAGGTCATAATTCTACAGTGCAAGGGCCACATTGACAATTGCATACCGCCACTAATACAGCTCGTGCTTGATCGTCTGACGCGTGAGGTCAAAACGTCCGAATTAAGAACCATGTGCTTGCAAGTAGTAATTGCTGCTTTATATTACAATCCAACTTTATGCCTTGAAACGATGAACAGACTGCAGGAAAGCTTAGGTCAGTCAACAGAACCGATTGCCTCACACTTCATTAAACAGTGGATCCACGACACGGACTGCTTTCTTGGGTAAGCTCTGCTTAATCAAGTTACAAGACAATGATTTATAGTACATCTATTACGTATCTAGTGAGCAAGATTCAGAATTTCATAGATTTCACGTAAATAGTCGTGGTTAACTTGCATACCCTCGTCAAAAGAGCTCATTATCTATTTTGGAACAGAGTAAATATGAAGCACTTTTAACGGGGGTATGCAGAAATGAAATAGTATACGGTACTGGTGCTCCGTAAGTCAAAATTTTTTACTTACCTTGCACCAGGAAACGTAAAATCGTATACGCACCACCTTCGAAGGTTAAGAAATGCTAGATTTTACATCAAAGTTCATTCATGTGAAATCTGGGATGTTATTAACGTCGTTCACTAGGTGCGTAATGTACCATAGAAAATTTTTTCATTTCCTTTTCCTTTTTTTCGTTTTAATCTTTTTTATGCGCATTATTTACAGTTAACTTTGTCTAGTTGCAGTAGCGTCTTTTTATCAGAAGTAGAATAAAGCAATTGGCATTAATATCCAGTTTCGCTACATAGTTTAGCTCAATAAGTCGATTTATTGAGACATGCCAATTAATCAATCAGATCTACTGACTTTGAAACCCTACTCAAGGTTTCTCATTAAACTAACACTTAAGAAAGTACTCACTTACTACCATTTCTGATTCCTGTGCTTATTTCCCTGTAAGTAATGTAATAATTCTTACGTTAAAGGACACCGTTAGAAAGAACACGTAAAAGATATTTTAGCAATACAATTATAAATAATATTATTTTAAGAAAAATTAAATTTTTTTAAGTATTAAATGGTTGTTGAAATTGCAAATACTGCTTCTCTTCAAAAAATGATATGCAGTGAATTTAAGGTGGCTCCTCACTAAATCAAAATACTAGAGTATTAAATGATATTTTAAAGGATGATTCTTAAAGGTGCAAGGAGTCTTTTCCCAAAATTTTAGACCTCGTCACCACCAAAATTGTTGAAAAAAACTAACTGGAAAATAGACTCTGTAACATAGCCTCTTATGGAGGGTCGTCAAATTGGTGGCGCAGGTTGTATGATATCTCAGCAAAGATACTGTAGTTCTTAATAGAAAACTATGTAGCAGATAGAAGAAATCAGAATCTTTCCAACGACATTCAGGTACTTGGACATTACCATGGGTTTTATAGGATATTTTGTGAAAATAGTAGATAACTGCAAGTCACGGAACAGATGAAAAGTGTGGGGCGTCTGCTACACCGAAGAGCGGTAGCCCGCGTAGTTTGAATTGGTCAGAAAGTTGTACGTAAAATGAATAGGAGTTGTGGGGAATCGTAATTATAATAAAAATAAATGAGACGCTGAACTAAGAAAATAATTTAATGCGGGGCTAACTTATGTACTTTTTGTATACAAACTTCTGCTCGGGTCACTGTATTGTACGATATAGGTCAACGGTGTAGATGTGACTAAACTTTTTTTGAAGGGACTATAGGTACCTATCCATTTTTAGTCAAGAACCTCCACAGCCAATGAAAAGCTGTGTTGCAGTATGCTTACTCTTCTTGTGAGGAGCCACCTTAAAACAGATTTTGCCACTCTGACTTATAAGTAGAGTAGGTATAGAGGAGTGTGAATGAAGACGCCATTTTCGGGACCGCATGGGTAGGAGAAGTGGTGGAGAGAATAACAGATTCACGAATCTAATCAGTAACTTTCTGACACTTCAGCCACACTCCCTTATTGGGATTGGCCCCATAGCACTAGCGCCACTGCCCTAGGTTAATTTCCATAAAGTAGTGAGTTTCAAAAACGGTGAGAGAAGGCTCATGACTGTCAGCGCCACCAGCTTCTCTATGCTTACGCGTTGTGGCGTGATTCCAAAGTTTCGAGAGAAGGCTCTGAAGGGCCGATCCCAATTCGCGATGTAAACCCGTCTGTAGCGCCGCCCTCGTGACAATCAATAAAACTGACGAGAGGCAGGTAAATAAACCGAAATAACATGTCTGAGATAGGAGCCGTTGAAGAAAAAGTTGAATCTCTAATGAATAAACAGCCGAGAACAGCCTACGCATTGGTGCAGTGTTTCCCAGTGCAAATTTAAAAAAAGATCCTACGTACATCGATTTCCAAAGGATAAAAAACAATGCCAGAAGTGGATAATTGCTTGTAAAATGAGCAAACGCATAACCTTGAGTATGATAGTGTGTGGCTGAGTCAGCTGACAATTATTTCGGTTTGTTTACCTGCCTCTCGTCAGTTTCATTGATTGTCACGAAGGCGACGTAACAGACGGGTTCACAACGCGCGGATTACGTGGATTATTGGAAATCCACTCCATTATTAGCGATCAACTCTAACGCCATCTCTTTTATGGATACAATACTAACGTTGAAAGTGAAAAAAAGTCAGAGCCTGAGACCGACCTATTAATCTTATTATACATAAAGGGCATGGCGCTCGCCTTGCCTACCCCCTTTATTCACTCCCTCACTAACTTACCTACAGTGTGCTTGTGCAGTGTTGTGTGTGTATATGTACACTCGCCGTACCTTGATTCGCAAACCGCGAAGTTTAAAGTCTTAAATTTTTTTATGACAAATAAACATAAAATATGATTTTGACATTGTGCAATAGTTGTTTATCATTATATTTTTATTTTATGGTTATGGTTGTTCCTCGTGTTTTAATACGATAAATTACTTCAAGAATTCAAACTTCGCGGTTTGCGAATCAAGGTACGGTGAGTGTACATGCACACTGGAGGCAGTTTAATTCGTTAAGCGGTAAATTCTAATATTTTATTTCCATTGGTTGATTAGATCACATAACCTCTCTCATTGGTAAATTATATACTTCCCGTTCAACGAATTTAACTACCTCCAATGTATATATGTATAGGCTATAGGTACGTCAGGCAAGCCGAGCGCCATGCTACACTCTGGTGATTAATTATTTGATACTCCCTCAACCGTTATTCCCTCTAAAACGTGTTATTTGCTAGCATTTACCATACTACTTGAAAAATTAAAAATAGATTAGCCTCCATAAAGCCTGTGTTAATTTTCAGCTGTGTGTATTACGACTTCCCTTTCTTTGAGTATAACCCCGGTTAATTAGTGGTAGTAACAATCGGCTAAGAATATTATTTGTACCGAGGAAACTCCAAGATTAGGAACCAACACACAAACAATGTTAGTGTTTATATGTCGGAGGGCGGGTTCGTTGCCCTGTGTAAAAGAGCGAAATTGCTCAGATTGCCGATTATATACAATATTTAAAATAATTATTAAGTTTCAAAATTTATCTGTTGAATAATCAATTAATTCCTGCACCATATACAGCAATTGTTTATTGATTATTACTTTATTGAATGTTCCCTTACTTTAATCAATTTAATAATATCTTTTTTAACTTATTAAATATTTTACTAATCTAATACCTTTTTTTTTTTTTATTTATTCCTGTCCCTTTTGGGGGTACAGATAATATTCTCAGTTTAAATAAACGATTTCAACTCTTAACAGCTATTTTTCTAGTTTTTATCTTAAACTATAAAAGGAACTCGCAATCTTATGTGGAGGGGAAGGTTTGCTTCAATAAGTACAATCAATTTATTTTTAATTCTCTTATATTTATTCAATCATATGATTCTAAGGAAATTATATCTTTAATTTTTACATGTATTCATTATATTGAGTAATCGCAATTATTTACGTTAATAATAAAAAAAAATATAATATGCTCGATAATTTACTTAAAATTTATCCGCCCTTTTAATAGGAAATTTTTACATAAATGGTAATTCGAATTTTTTATTTCTCCTTAATCTCTCTGCTTGAACACGTTAGGTTAGACTAAGACGAATTTTTATCACAACTGCGGAAAGTTAGTGTTATGTAACTACCTATCCTTCCAAGTCACGTAAGGTTAGGTCGTTCTCAGGGCCCTTGGGTGTCTTGAGCACTGCTCAAGTCGTCAACCCAGGAACTTCGCCTAAGAACGTGGTCGCTAACCCTAGTGCCTCGACTACTTGGGGATGCGTCGTCTCCACGCTTAAAGCGGTCGAGCACCGAAAGTCCAAGTAGGTACCGGTTAGTGGAAGTGTTACCTTGTTGGTGGTGTACACACTTACTTTTCAGCTATCGGCCTTCGTACTTCGTCTCTTTCTCTCCCTTCGTGCTCGTCGCGGTATTGTACCGGTGCACAGGAAAGTTCCAGGTCTGGGTGAGCAACGGATATACCGCGTCCCAGGCTCGCTGGAAGAGGAACTGCTTTTGCATTGCGCACTAGTGCCTTTTATGCTAACAATATTTCCTTTTGAGTAGCAGGTTTTCCCGCGCTCTAGCGTTTTCTTAACGTACTATGCGCACATTCCCCGCGCGCGGCGTTCAAATTTGAATTTTAAAATAGGAATTTTAAAAAAAATGAAATATATGTGTGTATAAAAAAAATGTGTATTATTGAATTGTCTATTAGACGGATTTTTTATTATAAGAAAATATAATAAATAGAAGGATATAAATATAAATGTAAAACACATATTATAAAGTCTAGATGATAGAAGTGACCCGTTGCAGTATCGTGAAAATAACGTGAGATTTGAGATCCTAGTAGTCCTTTAATTTCAAATTATATCATACAATAATCTCTTTAAAATTTCATTTCCAAATAATATGTCATAATCCCACTTCCAACAATTTTCTCTTTAAACTTTTATAACAGCAGTCTGGCATGAAAACCATATTCAGAAACAAAAACACCCAGGATTTATTCTCCGTCCGCTAAAGTTTCCTTGTAGTAACCCTCGGGCCACAATTAGACAGTTGCAAATGGAGCTCGAATTCAAACAACTGAACTGTTTCCTGCACCTACTACTCTACAAATTCCAACAACGGGTTCTTTCCAAGAAATTTTCAAAAACAATACTGATACGTGCTCCAAAAGTTTATAAGCAATTTAATAATTCCACTTTTTTTTTTTTTTTTTTTTTTATCTTCTGCCTTGTCAAGTCACTAAAAATTATTTTT